GGGGGGAGGGACGGGGAGGGACACCCACCCAACAACCACACTGCCTTCCTCCCTGACCAGTTCTGAAAACTCAAACCAACTTTGCACTGATTTTTCAGACACTCCAAAACCACAGGGTTTATTATGGATTTCAGTCACTTTGGCACTTCCTGATCTTATCTAAAATTAAATGCAAAAATTATAACCAATTATGTTCTTGGAGTACTGTACTTTGGCCAAAACAGGAAATAGTGAAAACCCACTAAGATGATCACCCTCATTTCCATAAGCAAGGGTGGTTATTGGAAGAAAAAAAATGATCTGAAATTCCAGGCACAAACAGAACTTCCAAATCTGTAGAGTTCCACTACCACTAATCCTAACTGGATTGATTCTTCTTCCCATACTGGTAAATAAATCTTTCCCATCCTTTCAGTCTTCTGAGGCACATATCATCTAGGCAAAGCCTCATTATTATGTTTTATTTATGACTGGATTAAGACGCTGTAAGTTCTGCATGTTCTACAGGGCCAAGTGAGAACCTTTTTCAAACCTGTTTTGAATACAGACTGAACCAAGAACTGGAATTCTCAATCCATAGTCATCTTCAATTTGCCAATTTCTTTCTGCCCTTTCTGCTGTTAATGAAAGAGCATTTCATTTACTACAAGTGAGTATTGCAGGCAATAACAAATACAATAGTTTCCTGGACTTTTTTTTTCCCAGCTTCTAAACCCATACTAGCATGAGGAAGTCTCTCATAAAACTGACCCTTCCGATGATTCCAGAAAGGGTTTGGAGAGAAAAGAAAAAAAAAAACAAGGCCAAAGTTTTCTTTTCATTATCACTGAGTCACTTCAAAACGTCAGCTGGTCCCCAAAACTCTAGAATACAGCTTCTTCACAGCAAGGGTAGAAAACAGCTTTTGTACTGATCAAAAATTAAAACTCAGTGCCTGGAGAAGAGAGATCTTGGCAAATCTGTTGCACGTAATAGATCTCAGAACGCCAACAGTGCTTTAACCCTTTGGCCACAAGACATGCGGCTCATTAGTTCTGGGAAAACTGAACATGACGGCTTGCCAATCTGGTCCAATGGGGAAGGAATGTTCCTTGAAAGTACTCGTGTAGGACCACAGCGGACATCTATCAACAAGCTCATCTGACTTTAATTAGAAGCAACCACATCATAAACTGATCAAGCTCCAACTACCAAGCCATGGTGCCCACCAGATGAATTTCATTAACAAGACACCAACTGATAGCAAATAACAGATTGCTAGTACCTGGAAAAAAAAAGGCATGTGCAATAACAAATGCTTATTTTTATGGCAGATACCATCATTACATTCTTTCACCTGAAACACATCATTCATTCCTGTGTAATTCACAGCTCTGAAATTTCATCCTTAAGATATGCATACCAGTGTTTTTGATGAAAACTGTACAAAACATGAAATTTGTCCTTTCTCTCCTTGTGATATAACAGCTGCACTTGAGCTTACTTTGCAGTAAAATGATAAAGAACCCAGATGCATATCGTGTGGTCTACCCCGTGTCTAAGCATAGTTTGGAGCAGGGTGCATCAGCCTCTCTGAAGAGGAGAAATGTAGCATAGGAAACCAGCATCTTCTGCTAAGGACAAAGCCTGGGACAGGTTGCGTGTCTCAGAGCAGGGCGGCTTGGTGGGTTCTTGCAAAGGCAGTGACCAGGGGAGCCTGGTTTAGAAATACACTCGCTTGCTGTATCCTGAGATGAGCCAGAGCCATCTTCCCCAGCTGATGTGGCAAAACCAAGTGCTTCGGGACTCGACAGAGGAACTCCTAGTTGCGGCCGGGGGAAGCGACCCTGGGAAGGCGTGAACGGGAAAGAGGCGCTGCCTGGACTTGGTTACCCTCCGAAATCCTCCTCGTCCTCTTGTTCTCCGACACCAGAGGACCCTCCGCTCTGAAGCAAAAGGGTTCATCGCGGTCACAGCTCAATTAGGAGCAATGAGGAGTTAGGAGGGAGGGAGGGTGGTTGGGGGCAGTGCCACGAGTCCCCCTCGTGCTCTGCTTGCTCTCACAAATCTCTCCCCATTAGGCAGCTTCTCCTCAGGAAGCAGACTGAGGCCCTAATGGCCTCAGCAAGCAGGAAACAAGCAGCGTATTTATAGATTCAGCACTGGGCTGAAAGCTCACAGAGATGCTTCTTAGGCATCCTGGCTCTGCCGGGAGCAGCGAAGGGTCCCTATTTATTTTCCTTCCAGCTTTGCTGATTACAGCATCAAAACACAGATTCCCTGGTTGAACTCATACTGTGCTGAGACACCAAATAGCATTTTATAGGATACTTTGGTTTTAAATTGATGTTTTCATCAATTTTATTCATCTTCAAATATCCAGAGCTATTTTGGAGTAGTCAGTAAACAAAGTCTAGGAAGAGCACAGGTCAATACCCGGTGTTCGATGCGTGTTTGTCCTCCATTTCTCCTTAACAAGGAACTGTAAGAGATTAATTATACTGTTGCATGCCTGAGATGAACTTTTAGATATTCGAACACGCCAGTTACCATAGCAATAAACAACAAAATATGTCATTTCATGATCACAGATATATTTATAAAAAAGATTTTAAAGAAACAACTAAAAAAGTGCTCAGTGTACATCTCCCAGGATACAGAAATCTACTCCAAATCGGAACAGAAAAGACCATTTGACAGCTATAGGAGAGGAGCACTTGGCTACACATGCCCAAAGGGGAACGATTTGACTTTGGAATTAAAATGGGTTTTAAGCAGGAGCAGAGCTATAAGCACTCAGAAACAGTAGCACAACGGGCTGTGCAATATGTGTTAACTCCGCAGTGCTTACATAATCAGAGGCGAGAGCCCACTTTCACTGCCTGTAAAACAGCTGCAGGTGCTTCATAAGGAAGAGGACTCAAGGCTAGCCCCAGCCAGCCTCTCAGCTCCACACCCTTGCAGAGGTACCTAGTTCCTGGGAAGCCAGAAACAATCCCGTTTGCCACCTTTGTAAAGGTGTGGCCCCCTCAGCAGCAAGCACTAGTCTACTGAAAGGAGAGAACAGTGCTGGAGCTACCGAGGGAAAAAACTCGGAACAGAGGGGAGGGTGGTAGAAGGGGTGAAGTACTGATGGAGAGCTCTTGTTTGGAGGAAGAATTTGAGTTAATAATCTCTTAAATAGGCGACTCTCTGATCAGACAGGTCAAGTCAGAGAAGTGAGAGCTGATACAGAGCAGAAAGGATTTGTCAGTAAAGTCACTGCAAAGCCCTACCTGAGCAATAGCTGGTGCTCAGGGTGTGGCTGTTATCCACTTCTTCCTGAGGAGCTGTAAAAGATTAAGCTAAGCAGTGATGTGCTGAGAAGGAAAGGCAGCTTCTAGGATAAAAGGTTGAATGCTGAGGCCTGGAGCATAGATCTGTAGTTACAGAAAACAGGTTTTTCAGAACACACACCAAGCCATCTAGCATTAAGTAGAAACTGCTGGACAAAGCTCAAGGCCAGCTCAGTCAGGCCTTCTCAGTCAAATCCTATTGCCCTGTAACAAAGTAGGATAGGAGATAGTTTCCCAAAGACTTAATTTCAAAGTGACATTATTTAAAGGCTTTCTGTATCCTTCATCTCACCAGTTTCACCAAATCAACTACCTTATCTGCAAGCAGCGCACGCTGCAGCAAGCATGATTTTGCCTTTACCACCTTACTTCTATGTCAAGAGATAGATACTGGTTCCCTCTTTGATTACAGGCTCCACACACAACTTTGCTCTCTCCTTCAGCTGCTAAACGCAGGCTTGTGCTAGTGCTGCCTAAACCTGTGTCTCCTCCTCTCCCCTGTTCAGCATTTTAGCTCTTGAAGACATGGACCACCTAGCACCCCCTAGCCCAGTAGGGAATTAAAGAGGAACACGGTGACCCCTGGTTTGGCTTACCTACCGAGTTACCTACACTTCTCAGGAAAATAAAGAGGACAACTCAGGATGAAAGAGAGGAGAGAGAAATAGTACACAAGTGTCTTACCCTGGGAGCAGTCAAGACCGAAGAAGCCATCATGGCAGTAGCACTCTCCTGTGTCACAGAACCCATTGCCGCTGCAGTCCCCAGGACATCGTTTCTCACTGCAGTCCTCTCCGATGAACTCCTCATAGCACTGGCACACTCCTTTGGCCGTGTCACAGATCCCGTTGCCGCTGCAGTTCTCGGGGCAGAGCTGCTGGCTGCAGTCTTCACCGAAGTAAGGCTCATCGCAGATGCATTTTCCACCATCGCAAAGCCCGTGGCCGCTGCAGTGGTTGGGGCAGGTGGGGTGGGAGCAGTCACTGCCTTCCCAGCCCTCAGCACACTTACAGCTACAAGTCTCATAGAGGAATGTCCCATGGCTGCTGCAATGTGAGACACCTGGCCAGAGCAACACCAAGGTGCACAGCAGCATGTGTGACGCACAGGCAAGAGGGGAGGGGGGGGGGAGGAAAAAAAAGGAACAGAGCAATGAATAGGTAGGGAAAAGATCTGTTCAAGGTCATTAAAGGGAAAGCATAACTATCACTGGAAAATATGGGCTGAAAAAGACCTCAAGAACTTGTCTGCCTGCCTCTACTCCAAGGAAGGCTAAGCTCCACCCTTGCCTTTCCTAACACATTTGTCCACAGGGACCAGGAACGCAGCATCCGTAACCACCCCAGACAATCCAGCTTTTCATAGCCTATAACCTGAATCTTCCTGACCGTAATTTAAGTTCACCACTTCTCATTACAGTTATTACAGAGCTAGAGAGCAAATTATTCTTGTCCTCTATGTGGCCGTATTTTTCACGTAACTGAATACTTAGCACTTCTCTCTCCCTCCCCCTGCCCCCGACTTCTCCATTCCCCAAACACCAGTTTGTTACATCTTTTCTTAAGAGATCACGTTGTGTAAACCTTTGACCATAGGTAGAGCCAGTGGCTGCCACAAAACATCATCATCAGAAACTGTCTTTTTACTTCCTGCTAGATAACTGACAAAAAGAACATTCTCAACAACTACAAGATTCTGGAGGTAGAAACAAAAAGGGAAAAGACAGTAAGAAGTGCCTCCCTCACCTCCACCCTCTTCCTCCCCCATAAATTCCTCCACTGAGCCTCCCAGCTGTGTGAAATTCAGGAACTCTTCCCCTCCACCTCTGGAAGATGCCTGGGGAGGCACCCATTCCAGACACCGCTACAGTACTACCAAGTTTTGGGACCTCTGGATTTCCATTCACAACACAGAAATCTGAACACTGTCCCAAGTGCAGGACTGTAGCATTTCACCCACTGAGAAACCGCACCACTTGGGGAAATGGATTCCAGGCCCTAAATTTCCTGAAGGAAACAGGCTACGTGAGGGACACAGGAACAGATACTGCAATTATTACATACCTTGGCTTCCCCTACAGCATGTTTGAGGGCTGCAGACTTCTCTCAGCTCCGCCACTTCTTTCTCCAACTTTTCCATCCTCTCAAGCAAGCCCTTAACGTGGTCCAGAGTTTCACAGTTCCCTTTGGGGGTGTGCACACGGATATTGTGCCTAAAGATGATATTCTGCTCTTCGTTTTCCTCGGCCTCCCCAGGATCCAGCTGCACCTCGCTGCTGTCTTCCTGCTG